GTGTGTGTGTGTGTGTGTGTGTGTGTGTGTGTGTGTGTGTGTGTGTGTGTGTGTGTGTGTGTGGACATGTGACCTAACCACCCCACCCCTCTCCTCTCCTTTCTGCCCTCGTGGCTGTGGTGCTAGTGGTGTGCCTGTGGGTCACACTGGGGTCAGAGGCAGGGCCCCTAACAAGTAAAGGTCTCCACACTGGAGACACACAGACACACACACACAGGGACACACACATGGCGTGACGCTAATGGGTTTCACGTGTCACTGCTAAGCTTTGTGCTTGTGTGAGTCGCTCACCCGCATGAAAGTAAGGACTGGCGTAGGGGAAAGCGAAGGGCAGCGTCTGAGCGTGAAGAGCGTGCAGCGGTGGCATGAATCCAGGCGGCAGGTGATATTTAAGATCAGCTTTGCCCAGCCCAGGTGTGAAAATGTTCCGACTGGGCGACTCTGTGTCTGCTGAACTACACGGTGCACTCAGCCTGCCCGAGCTCTCTGCAGCCTCCTTGTTGGCCTCGCTGCCGGTCTCTTTGCTCCTGCTCAGCTCTACGTCTCTGAGCTTGCTGCCGGGCTGCTCTCGCCTCTCCTCGCACATCTCCGTCTCGCTGTCCGAGTCTTTCGTGTCCTCGTCGTGCACCTCCGTGTCTCCCACACTTCCTAGGTCCTCTCTTCCTCCTCTGTAAGATGCGACACGAAGCTGCGTTGGAGGTTCCCTGCGATGAATTTTTTTGGACTCTGGACCTGGTCCGGCAGTAGAACTCTGCGCCTGAGGGTCTTTGGGCGTGGAGGACGCCCCTGGTTGCTGCTGCTGCTGGTTGAGAGTTAAAAGGGGCGTGGCAGCGGCGTGGCGAAGCACAAGCATTGCATTCGTGCGACGGGCAAGCTCCTCGCGGAGAGGATGTCCTTCTGGGATGTCGTGGAGACTCCGCAGGGCAGGATGGTCAGGGGGCAGGCCAGGTGGCAGAGCCCCCAGTGGCTCTGAGCCCAGCAAACGATGCTGCTGCTGCTGTTGGTGAAGATTCTCCAACTCCTTCTGTCTCAGCAGCTCTGCTGACATCTCCAGTCTGAGGCAGTGAGACACACAGGAACTTCAATGTAAAAACCCCACACAACTACGTGACAACAAACCCTTACACAACAATCTGCGAGCAGTTAAACACACACCTGGCCAGGTTCTGCTTCCTTAAAAGCTCTTGTTGTCGAGCAAAGATTTCAGCTTGAGCTGGCTGGAGGAAACCATAACCTGTTAAAGAAACAACAGGAAAACACACAAATTAACTTAAAGGTGGTGGAAAATAAATATATTTAACAATTTATTTTAAAACAACTTTTGCTTTAATTTAGCAAAAAGCAACAATATTTTTCAGTTTCATTAATTCATTTGACAACTTTACTTTTAAAATAAAGAGTACAAACAAGCTTTTGAAACATTTGTACTGAGCAAGTGCCTATCTCCAACAGTCAGGGACACACAGAAACAACCAACCGTTCCCACTCTCACGCACAACTAGGGACAATTTAAAGTTGCCAATGATCCTAACGTGGATGTGTTTGATCTGTGGGAAGAAACCAGAGGACCTGGAGAAAACCCATGTGTGCACAAGAAGAAGATAAACTCCACACAGAAAGGTCGGAAGGAGACTGCTGCTCTAAAAGCTGCTCTGCCCTGATGCTCAGCTTTTACATCTAAAACTTAAAAAAAAGAAATGTTTGCGTCAGATTTTTTTCGTTTCTTTAAACTCATGACCTTTTACAAGATTAGTTAGCTGTCCCTGTATGTAAAACTCTGCATAATGTAATGTCATATAGAGTAATGTGTTGGGCTTTGTCTGCTACATTTTGCTTTAGTTGTAGTTCTTACAGGGGAATCTTTTGGGCTCATTAGAGTTCGTGAACCCAGATATTAGCATCACTGTTGACAAAGTCTTTTTAATAATATAAAAAGTCAGTTTTTATCCCTTCCTTATATATTAAAGCCATAGAAAGTTGTATTTTGCTGGCAGAGGTGTACTGCTTGTTTATCTCTCAGCGTTACTGAACACTCACCGGGGGCCTGGCAAAGAGCGGAGGGCAAGCCCAGGAACGGAGGCCGCAGGTGAGGTCCTAAGGCGATGTGTGGAGCGGTCGGAGGGGACAGGAGGGGTGGAGGGTGGGACAATTCTCTAAAAAAAGACAAAAACAAACAAGACATCTGTTAAAAGCTGGTTTCAGTCAGAAAATTCATTACAGGAATAGTTTTGTCCTCGCAGAGTTTCTGTTCTCAGCACATCTCAACTCTTGTTCWGTGTGTGTGTTTGCTGCCACACCAGTGTATGTGGTGTATTTTTATCTGTGGCACTCCAGAGGCCCCAGTGTCGCCTCAGTGCCTCATCAGTCTTGTCACGCCGCAGCAAGCGCCGCTGGCCATTACTGTACCCTGGACTGCAGCCTTTCCTTCCCCTGCAGTCACACACACACACACACACACACATAATGAGAGCTGAATGCACAATGCCAGTGTGTCATGCTCCGACAGCTGGGGCGGCCCCTGCGTCTTGACCGGGGCCACGGGCTGAAGGACCTTCTAATTAACACTCATCCCTCCTCTCTTTTCTCCCTTTTTGTAGCGCCCCTCTCTGTCTCCCTCCCTCTCAGTCTCTGAAAAGATGAAGCATCCTGCAACCTCTGCTTCTGAAAAGGCCTCTCCATTATTGGCGTCGTCTTTTGTCCTCTTTGAGGGGAAAGGTGCCTCTCACCTTTCTCCCTCTCGTTCTGTCTTAACCATCTTTTTTTCAGTTCTTTACTTCAGTTTCTATACTTCTCTGTGACCTAAGAAAAATATATTTCATTCACTGATTAAACTTTTATTCCAATTCAGTGTATTTYCCCCCCCACATTTTATGTATTTTCTACTATTTTTCACTTTCTTCACTCATATTTTTTAAGTTAATTATTGTCTACTTGTTTGTCTCTTTATCATGAGGTTATAAGACGCATGTAATGTTGACCCTGTGTCATGTCAAAATGTGACGCAGCAGTTTGTGATGCAGCTCTCCACAGAGTCTTTTCTGGTTTCAGCCTCTAACTCCTAACACACACTTYCTCTTCTGATCCTGTTTTTTTTGTCCTTCCTTGCTTCAGTTGCTATCACACCAATCAGCGCTCAGCTGTGTGTGTCTACCACCGAACAAAAGCGTACATGGGAAACAAGCTGAGGAAAACAACAACGTCAAACTTGACACTGGGACACGTGAAACCGCAAATATTGTTTTGAAACTGTGTTCAGATTTGCTAGCGCCTGCAAGTCTTCTGCCTCTCTAAATGAGGAACGAGAAGAGGGAACTTGTACAAAAGAAGGGAGATGGGATGGAGGTGGGTGTGTGTGGGGGGCAGGGTGGTAGAGTTAGTTTTGTGTGTGCGTATTCATCGATTGCCTCTGAAATGTTAATACTAATCGTATAACCGCTCTCTCCGGCGGTGCCTCGCACTCCAGTGGCAGCTCCAATTAATCTTAGGTGAGGGCTGCGGTGCGTGACCCTGGAGCTGCTACCCCGGACCCCCGTTAGCCGCTGCTTATGTAATTACACCGCCCAGTGTGTAATCACCTGGCCCAATCCCTCAGGGCTAGCAATTAGCCCCGCGACGCAGTTTCGYCAGACTACGCAACGGCTTCTGCAAAAACTCCCATCCACCCCCACCCAAGGCTTCCAAACTCACATCGCCCCCACCCACCCCACCCCCATCTCCTTCTGATATTTCTTTTTTTTTTTTCCCCCTCCATGCACCACCTCGCTTAGCGTTAGCCCGCAGATGAATAACGGTCAATTAAAGCTGCATGACTGGGGCTGCCAGGCGTCTGCGCCACCATAATTAGGCCTAATCACGGGGAGTGAGAGAGGGAGAGGAGAGGAGAGAAAGAACATGTCTGACACTCCCCTCCGCTCCCTCCCTCCATCTCTTTTCCTCTTTTACAGGCGGCAATTTTGAGGAAGGAGTGGCAGACATTAGTCGTTTTGCTCTGAGAGTGTGTGTGTGTGTGTGTGTGTTTGTGTGTTTGTGTGTGTGTGTGTGTAAGCAACATGTCTGTCTTTCTCAAAGTGTGTGGTTTTATTTTTGCACTCTGTGCATTTTGTTGGTAAACCACTGACATGCTATAAAAAGATGAGGGACAAACAGTCACCTAGTTCTGTGTGAGACACTGAAAAAAAAAAACGACAGATTCACGAATACAAGGTGGACTCATAATCACACAGAAGTCTATCACTGGATTCTGTTTGTCTCTGCCTGCAGTGAGGCCACAGGCTCATGGGGAATTCACTGGTGTGTGGCGACCTGTCAGAATGGCGACAGCGGTCCTGTCCTGCAACAGCACAGGCTGTGTGTGTGTGTGTGTGTGTGTGTGTGTGTGTGTGTGTGTGTGTGTGTGTGTGTGTGTGTGTG